GAAAAAAATAAAGAAAAACAATAAAAAAAAATAGAAATAGAAATATAATATTTTATAATAAAAATGGATTAAAAACTTGAAAAACATCTAAATTATAGTAATTAGAACTAATAATAATCTAATAAAATAAGAATAAAAGACAATATAATATTAATAAACTAAAAAGAAATAGAAAAAAACCAATTTTCTACGAAAAACGAAACAAGCGAACCTAGTTCATCAGAAAATTTAATAAAAAATAATTTATTTAATAAAAAGAAAATATTAATACTGCAAATTATAATTACGTTCTAGAAAAAATTGAAAATACTTTAAATTAATAATCTCTTTCTGGCGTATAACAATAATAACTTTAATAATAACTTGTGCAATAATATTTATATTTATAAGATTAAAATGAAAAGAAGGAAATAGATTATTATTAAGAATTCATGAAAATATAAATTTTAAATTAATCTATTATAAGTTAATTAATTAATTGCTAGAAAGAAATGTCTGATTTAAAATCAAAAACTAGTAAATTAGAGGTAAATATAAAAAATAAATTTTATAAAAAAATAAATAATGTTTGTGTCTGTATATATAAATATTATTTTTATAACAATAAAAATTTATTTTATAATAAAATAAAAATATTTTTTTTGTTTAAAAAAAAGAAAATAGTTGGATTAATGTATACTAATACTATTTTAGAAAATGATTAAAAATAATAAAATAATAATTCAAGTAATGGAAATTAAATTTCAATTAAAAAGAAAAACAGAAGATGTTCAAATGATATAAATAAAATATTTAGAGTAAAATAAAACAAATTAAATTAATTTTATTATTAATATATATATATATATTATTTATAAATATATATTATAAGTGTTATTATGAAAATTGCACTAAAATATATGGGACAGATGTTTCTTTAAATCTTCATATAAAATTAAAACATAACAATAAAGAAGGATAAAATATTTAATAATAATAATAATTTTAATAATAGTAGATATAATTATAATAACAATAATAATAATAATTTTAATAATAAAATCTTTTATAAAAATAACTATAAAAATAATAAGATTAATTAAAAGAAAATGATTCATAATAATTAGAAAGCTCTTCATAATAAAGATAACAAGAAAATAAAGTTTAATAATAATAATTAGTAGTAAATTCTACTGATTAAATAGTTTAAATATAATAATAATTGCAAAGAAATAACTTTTTCAATATTAATGTATAAACTTCAACTAATTAAAACTCTTTTAACACTGATAATTAAACTAGTTTTAATTGATTTAAAATAATATATCTGTTATTTTAAATAACAATAAAATAAATATAATATATATATATTTATTAAATATATAATTAAAAAATAAATTATTATATATATATATATAGTTAACTCATATTTAAAAAAAAAAAATATACTTTAATTAAAATAATAACTATATATGAAATAAATAATGTGTATAAATTTTTTTTTATATATATTTGTTTAAAATATAAATTCATTATAAATTAACATATTATATAAATTATATAGATAATATCATTAAATACTTTATTATCTATCTATTTTATTTTTAAATTAAAAATATTAAATTTTTATTATAAAACTCTCCGATTCTATATAATATATATATTTAATTATATAATTTAAATTATATTTAAAAAAGTATTTATATTGATTAAACTATATTTTATTTTATTCTTTTAAAAAAAAGAAATATCAAAAAAATAATATTTACTACATTCTTTATATTTTAGTAATAGTAATTATCATATTATTTTTTTGTTTTTTATATTTTATATTATTATTTTTAAATGTAAAAGTTAAAAATTTAGTATAATAAATGTTTCCCAATATATTCAGTATATGAAATAAATACATTTTTTAAATTTTCAAATTAATTTTAATAAATATTAAAATAGTACTTATTTAATTTACGATAAAATGAACAATATTATCTAAATTTTAATCTTATTAAAAAAAAACTATTAAATTAAGTAATAATTATTGTTTATTATCAAATAAAAAAAAAAGGTAAATAATAATAATTAAAATTTATTTATCAAAAGTTTAATTAAAAAAAAATTTATGATTTTATTTGTATGTATTTAATAAATCTTAGAATTTTTTTATTTAATCTAACTATATAATTATATTTATATTCAAAATAATTCATTATAATAATAAAAAATTAAAGATTTATAATATGTAAAAAATATATTCTTATAATTATATATAAATAGATATGAAGATAAAAAAAATTAAAACATATACAAATATTATTACAAATAATAAATAATTTTTGTTTCTAAAAATTGAAAAATAATGTAAAAAACATGAAGAAATTATAAAAATAATATATAAATATATAATATTATTATATTTATATATAAATATATTTTAATTTTTATATTTAATAAAATTAAATATAATCACATTTGTTTTATAAAAAAATATTCATATTATATTATAAAAGTTATTTTATATATTTTATATTCATTAAATCAATTTATTATTTCATTGATTAATTTTTTTTAATATAATCTTATTTTACAAATATATTGAATATATATAATTTTAATGATTATTTCATATTTTATTTATTAATTAATATCAAATTTTAACGTGATTTTTAATATTCATTTTTTTTATTAAAAAAAAAAATTGATTTTTAATTAATAATTTATATAATAAATATCTTTATTTTCTCAATAATTTTTAACCTTCATTATATATATAATTATTTTTTTAGTTTTAATATTTATGAAAAAAATTATAATATATTATTCTATAAAACAATTCAGCGACTTCACTGATCTAATTTATTATTTTTTTTTATTTTTTTTATTTACATTTTTTTTTTTAGTTCTATAATTATTTAATTTAGTATATAATATAAAATATAATTTCTTTTTATCTTCAATATATTATAATATTTACTATTATTTAATTAATTAATTAATAATTTGTATTATACCAAGGCTGATATTATTTTTATTTCAATTAAGAATTTATTTTTAAAATTTTATCTTTTTTATTTGGATGTTTATTTATTTTCTTTGTAATTTAAGTTATGTAATATTTGGTTTTAAAAAAAACTTAAATATTTTTAATAATTTTATAATAGTTTATTTTTATATATTATAATTAAATTATATAAAATAATAATTAATTTTAATTTTTCTTATATTTGTTTATATAAAATTTAAATAATTATTAATAAAAAAAATTTAATTATTAAAAATTTTAATAATATATTTAAAATATAAAGTTTTAAAGATTAATATATTAATTATAAAAAAAAAAATATAATATAATAAACATTTTATTAAAATTATAAATTAAAAATATATTAATGTTTAATTAAATATAAAAATATAATTAAAATAATGTAGATATGTAATATATAAAATTATATATATTAAATATATATATATATATATATATATATATATTCTACATATATATATATATAATTTTTTTCATGTCTTATTATTTTTAAATTTTTTTATATATTATTTAAAATTCATATTTTTTTATAAATTTTTTATAATTTTTTTTTATCATTATTATAATTATAATTTTAATACTACTTCGTGAATAATATTTTTGATAAAATTATTTATTTATTTACTATAGTATTTAGAAATGTTAATTTATTATAAATGAATTATCATACGTAATATTAATTTGATCATCAATCAAAATAAAATTCTAACTTTATTTTCTTTTTTAAATTAATATTTTTTTATTTTTTACATATTAAAAATTATTAAAAATAAAATAAAAATATTTAATCTTTATAATATAAATAAAAATGAGTAAAAACAGTCAAAAAGCCTTAAAATCTTTAATTACATTTCTTGCTACTACCCCTGGTAGAGATAAAGTAATAAATATAAACTATAATATTTATAAAAAATACATATAAAATAAAGTCCTGTAGGTTAGTGTAATATATTTCTGGATTAATATCTCATTATATAAAGAATACTAAAACATTACCAGAATAAAGTAAAAAGGAACTGTAAAATTTTACATAAAATTTAGATAAGTTATATACAAATATGTCATTAACAAGAAAAGTATTATTTAAAATGTATATATATATATATATATAAATAAATAAAAAGGTACTTAGATTTGGAAGAACTATTGGTTTATTATTATCTGTTTACGATATGCTAAAAATTTTATAAAATATTGATAAAAGTTAATTAAATGAAGAATAAAGATATTAATTAAGACATTTACCTTTTAAAATATTAGCAAATATATCTACAAGTGGATATTTTATTTCTGATCATTTTTTATATTTATGCAAAGTAATTTTTTAAATATTTATTGTTTGATTATATTAAAAATAAAATAATAAAAAATTAGATTTAACTAATTAATAATCCTAGTGTTTAATATTATTCTGATAAACTTGCAGATAGATTTTGGCTTTTTGAAGTTATTTTTAGTTTAATTGCTAATTATATTGAATATACTCATTTAAATAAATAACTTAATTAAGTATTTTTATTTTTAATTATATATATATAAATATATATTAGGAATTAGATAAAGAATAAAGATTAATTATTAAAGAAAAAATTAAATAGAACTTAATTGACTCAGCTAGAAATATATGTGATGTTCCTGTAATTAAACTTATAGATATTTTATATAAATATGAACAAAAATAAATAGGTTATTGTAGGATTTATGTATCCTAATTTAGTTAATAAAGTTAAACTAAACTTTTTTGGAGTAATTACTTCTTACATTGGATGTTATTAAAATTGGAAATGATTAATTTTTTAAAAGAAAAAGCTTAATTTTCTTATTATATATATATATATATATATATATATATATATATATAATATATATATTATATATTATTATTATATATATAT